AAATTATGACAAAAAAATACAACTTCAAAAAACTCGCCATGCCTCTTATAAAGTACGTCGGACTGTCTACTCTGCAAAAAGGGGTCATTTGGGGGATATCTGTACTGTTCTGACATTCTTAGACCTCAAGAAATTAGATTGGCTGTCAGTACTTCAGGATTGATCAATATTCAGATCTATACCATAGTTTGTGAACTCTATAACTTTCCTACAAACTAAATAATACATCCTAATTTGGGTTATTTTCACCAAAGACATGTAGCAGAATACATCTCGGCCTAAATTTATGAAGAACAATTATTTGTTTGTAAACTTTTATAACAGAAACAAAGAAAAATGTGGTTTTTTTTCAAAATGTTTGGTCTTTTTTTGTTAATTTAGCAAAAAATAAAAACCCCAGCGGTGATTAAATACCACCAAAAGAAAGCTCTAGTTGTGTGAAGAAAATGATAAAATTTTAGTTTGGGTACAATGTTGTATGACTGCGCAATTGTCATTCAAAGTGTGAGAGCGCTGAAACCTGAAAAATGGCCTGGGCAGGAAGGGGTAAAATTGCACGGTATTGAAATGGTTAAGGAATGGCCAGACCTGCAGTCAGTGCCTTGGTGTATTGTTTGCCATGAGTCCCTGTACTTGGTATCCTGTGTTCCTGCCTATCTGCCTAGTTGCTGACCCTGCATTGATCCTGACCTCTGCTGACCGTCTCCTGTTTAACCCCTGGCTTGCCTGACCATCCTTCTGCCTGATCCTCTGTACCGCGCTGCCCGTGAGTTACTGAACACGGCTTGTGACCCTGACTATTCTCTGCCTGCTCCTCCGGTACCTCGCTGCCCGCACGTTGCTGGCCTGGCCTGCCTGACTACGCCTGACGCTACCTAGACGATCCATCCATCCAACCCGCACGGATCTGTCCCTGTTACCAGGTCTGCCAGCCTCTTCACGTCAGGCTCCTTTCCCCGCACACCTCTGAGGACGCTCTTTACCATTGCCGGACGTACTCAGGGGTCGCGACCTGGTCTCAGTCTGCTCCAAGTCCATCCCCACCATCAGGGGCCCTGGTGAATAAGCAGACTGGGACTTAGACCCCATGCCCTGTACAGTACCTAACGGCCTGCCTGACCATTCCACCTCTCCAGCCCTGACTACGCCTGTGTTCCCACACATTTCTGGTCATACCCGGATCCCTAACACCCATGCTGTTCATATGTGATTGTGCCTTTCTGTATGTTGCTTTTTCTTTTTCTTTGTTGTTTTCTCTTTTCTTTTGTATTGATGATAGCCTTTGATCATTCTACTGTTTTATTCTTTCCATGTCTTATATACACATTCTATTCCTGTTGAATACGTGTACTGTTTTCAAAAATTGGGCTTCGGCCCTTAATAAAAACACAGGTCTGCAAAAAAAATTTTTTCCAGAGCTGTTTTGGTTATTCCACGTAATCTTTATGTGTTTTGGTGCACTGAATCTGAAAATGACCTCCATTTTGTCATAGGACATCACGTTTCCTGACAATTTAGGTAACTATGTTAAATAAGGCAATACCTCAAAATAAATGGAAATAGACTTAGAAAATTAAAGTTTTATTACAATTTTTTCATGAAAATCCTTTTTTGAACTGAAATGAGCTCACCTACACACACTAAACTCGATTCTTCTTCCCTGTGAGGCTCCTCTTGGTGCATTTACGCTTGTGAGTAGCATCTGGAATGTCTCTCTGAAGCATCCAACAGTAGTCTGCCATCATTGTAATGCTCCATTTTCCCTGGTATCGCCTTTCCATCTCTTTAATGTCTTGGTGGAATCGTTCACCTTGTTCCTCACTCACAGCTCCCAAATGTTCAGGAAAGTAGTCAAGGTGGGACTGGAGGAAATGCATTTTCAAACTCATCAGGCGACCTAAAGCTTGAAATGCTTTCAGCATTCGTCCGACGATCTTTCTGTAGTGAGGATCTTTGTTATTGCCTAAAAATTTCTGTACGACTTCTTCAAATGCAATCCACCCTTCTTTTTGAGGATCCGTCATGGTATTGACAAACTCTTGATCAACTATAAGCCTTCTAATGTCTGGTCCAACGAACACACCTTCCTTCAATTTTGCCTCCGACAGGCCTGGAAACTTGGTGACCAAGTATTTGAAGCATTCTCCATCTCTTGGAAGTGATTTTACAAATCCTTCATCAATCCCAATTTTATGTGGAGAGGTGGTGGAAGAACTTTATGGGAAGGTACCAAAGTTTTCTTGGAGGACATTTTTTTCACCGACTGTTAGCACCCTCGGCTGCCAACTCTTCTTGGTCCAGTAATTTTGTTGGTCTCGACTGTCCCATAGACACACAGAAAACAAGGGTATTTTGTATCCCACCCACTGGATTCTTCAGGAAAGATTAACCCCTTCTACCATTAGAAGCACAGACTCAGGGCTAAGGCTTACACATACAGCATGCTGCTGAGTATCCCAGTAGTCAGACATGTCACTCAGAGCAGCACTTGTATTCACCCCCTTTGCAGGGGAGGAGGGGCAGAGATTGTTTACCTGCAAACAACAACAAAGGGCCAGAAGAGAACTAGGGAAATGAGGAAATAGAATTTTTTTTCCCTAAAACTTGCTTAGCTTATGTATATATTGCTGACCATCAGATTTACAGTGCTATATTTTTTTTTACATAACTCGGACAACCCCTTTAAGGTTTTTTTTTGGCATTTTATATCTTAAATGCGCTTATGTGTGAATTAATTAATAGTAATTTGGACTTTAAATTTGGTTAAAAACCCATAATATAAAAAAAATACCAAAAATTTAAAAAAAATTATAAATTTGAAGACAACTTTGCATTACATGGCAAATCATGACGTCTAGGAGTTTTTTCAATATTTTATTTGTTTTCAGCACACAAAAATACATGGAAATTAGATGAAAATTATCAAACAGCTTTTTAGTCCTGTGAAATTTACAATACATAAAAAAAAACTGCTCCCATATGCAGTATGTATTTCATCTGTGTATTTGTATGATTGCCTGGTGTCAGGAATCAGGGTATGATCAGAGGTGTGTGGACTGACACAGGGAAACGCAGGCTTCAGATATGTTATAAACAATATAGTTTATTAAGACTAACAATACAAAACACAGTGCAAACAAACCAAACCACCCACAGATAACAATACATACAATGCAAGAGTAGTCAGGCAGGCCGGGTCAGTAGCAAACGGGCAAACGGAGTACCAGGAACAGGTGGCAGAGTGGTCGGGGTCACAAGCTGGGTTCAGTAACTCACGGGCAGCGCAAGTCAGACAGGAACAGGAATACAGGATACAAGGTACAGGGGCCCATGGAAAAACACACACCAAGGCCCTGACTGTGAGTCTGGCCATTCCTTAAATGCAACCCCTGCAATCAGCTTCAGGTGTTTGGCTGACTGCAGGGGTGAGTCTCTGATTGCTGAGAGCACCCGCTGGCCAGCCCTGGTACTGCAGCCCACAAGGCAGGTGAGTCCCACTATTATTGGCAAGTCCATTCCTGACACCTGGAGTTTAACGTGAACCCTGTATAAAGTTATAGTGTGAAAGTTTATCAAAATAGGTGGTTCTAATGGATACTATGTAATCTATGTCTGGGACAGATGTTAACAGTTTGAGTTACATTGTTATAACTTTAGAAATTGAAGCAATATTGTTGCAACCACAGAAATATAAACAATATATCCAACATATTATATTATAATCAGTATAATATCTCTATTTAAGATCTATTTGTCAATCAAAAATGACCTAGGGGATACTTCCTTTGCTAACCACTTGTTAGAAGATATTTCAAAATTGGGAAGAAAAGCTGTGATTGGATTCTGGGAATGCCTCTGTTCGCTACCGAAAGACCATCTTCGGCCTCACCTATTGGCAGTTCTGGATGAGCTCAATACTCAAGGTAAGAGTACACTATGTGTGCAGACAAAATCTTTATAAAATGTTGTAGCAGTTATTACGGGAGCAAATTCAGGATTTGTTTCTGGAGAAAACACCAAAAATCTTCTTCAATTGGTCACACCTCCGACAAAATTTTTTGTCACATCTATACGACGCACAGACTTTGGTAGACTTGGAAACTCTGCCTGGATTTTATTGCTACCTTTGACTCTATTGTGCCTCATTCCCTTAAAGCAGAGCTCCACCTAAAAGGGGAAGTTTTGCTTTAAGGACTGGTCCCCCCCGCTCCCCGTTAAGGCACCTTTGGGAAGCGGGTACCCGAAATTGACAGGTACGCACTCCCACTTCTGCTGCGATCACCTAGGCGGCCAGAAGCTAAAGTTGTCCTCCCCCCTCCCTGTAGTCTTTTGGGACACCTGACAGGTCCCAGAAGACTGCGGGGCCATTTTACTCGCGCATGCTCAGTTGGTACCCGGCTGTGAAGCCGCAAACTGTCACAGCCAGGTCCCCACACTGAAGATACCGGCGCCAGGAACACAGGGTGGCCGGTGAAACTGGCTGCGGGGGGACACCGCGGGATCGAGGGACAGGTGAGTGTCCGTTTTTTAAAAGTCAGCAGATACAGTTTGTAGCTGCTGACTTTTATATTTTTTTTATTTTCACTGGAACACTTGAACTTTTAAAACCAGGGCAAGATTGAGGAAACTTCTACTAAAAAGTTTTGCTCTTTCCCCAATGCATAGATTGCCTCAGTTCCTCATTTCCTGTCCTTTTGATCCCTGTTAATGAAACATACTGCACATTGAAGATTGTGATAATAATGAGCTCAAACTGAGTAAGGTGAATCTGGATTCATACAAAGCGCAGTGCCACCCTCCATTTTCCAAAATTCACAAGTCTAAACTGTTACAGTTATATCAAACGTATAGATTTAAAATTAGATTTAAATCTGCCAACTTTTAAAGTCCACAGAGAAGATTAACCCCCCCAAACTACAACAATGGCTACCTGCTTAACCGTTTCCATGCCGCCCTATAGCAGAAATACTGCTACAGGGCGGCACGGGTGCGCAAAATCACGCACCGCCATTCGTGGCCTTGGCTGTCAATCACCGGGTCCTGGACAGTGATTTCTCACCGGCACCCAGTGATCACCGAGTATCTTCGACGAGAGAGAGACCTGCATATAAACACAGATCTCTCCTGTCAACTCCCGCACACTGCTTTGTATGGCTCTGCATAGCAGAGCCATACAAAGCAGTGTGCTTACAGTATAAAGCACAAACACAGCACACAGTGGAACAGTACACAGCACACAGTTAACCCTTTGATTGCCCCACATGTTAACCCCTTCCTGCCCAGTGCCATTAGTACAGTGTCAGTGGTGCTTTTTATTAGCACTGATCATTGTATTGGTGTCACTGGGAATGTCAGTGACACCAAGTCAGTTTCCCCCCCAGTGTCAGAATGCCCGCCGCAGTCACGCTTTAAGTCACTGATAGCCACTATTACTAGTAGAAAAAAAAATCCCAGTATATATACCGCCATTTGTAAATGCTATAACTTTCACGTAAACCAACTCATTTACACGTATTGGGATTTTTTGTAGCAAAGACAGGTCACGGAATACATTTTGGCCTAAATTTATGATGAAATTTGATTTTTAATTTTTTTTTTTACTGGACATGTTTAATAGCAAAAAGTCAAAAATATATTTTTTTTTCTCAAAATGGTCGATCTTTTCTTGTTTATAGCACAAAAAATAAAAACCACACAGGCAATCAAATACCAGTGAAAGAAAGCTCTATTTGTGGGAAAAAGGACGTAAATTTCATTTGGGTGCAGTGTTGCATGACTGCGCAATTGTTAGTTAAATAACGCAGCTCTGAAATGCAAAAAATGGCCTAGTCAGGAAGGGGGGGAAACCCTCTGGAGGGTGAGGGGTTAAAGGATAAGTTCACCTTTGTTCACATTGTTTTTTGTAAATTCCAGCTCCTCTATGTACCAATAGCTTTAATGTACATCTTTTGTAGAAATTCAAAAGCTTTCAATTTTTTCTACTCACCTTTATCTCATTTCATGACACAGGAAGGAGTAGACCAGCTGACTTCATTAGCACACATCCTGCATCAACTACCCTCCTACCTCCCACCCACTGCCAGGTGCACGGATATTAAAAGAAAAGCAATCAATCAGTGATCACTGTTCTCACTAAATACACAAACATTGATTTTTATTTTTCTTCCTTAACTTTCATGCATAGATCATTCATTTGGCATAGTGTGCTGAGTGAACAGATAACAGCCTATGTGGATAACTGTAGTACTGAAAACAGGAGAATTGTGTTCTTTATTATTATTGTCATACAGGATATATATAGTATTATTATTGTACAGGATTTTTATAGCACCAACAGTTTGCTCAGCGCTTTACAATATAACGGGAGACAATACAGCAACAATACAGTTCAATACAAGAGGGATAGGAGGGCCCTGATCCTGGGAGCTTACAATCTAAGAGGGAGGGGGCTAGTGGTACAAAAGGTAGTAACTGTGGGGGATGGATTGGTTGGAAGAGTAGAAGATTCCATTATTAGCTGAGGGCAGGATAGGCTTCCCTGAAGAGAGAGGTTTTCAGAGATCGCCTAAAAGCGAGCAGAGTAGGCGATAGTCTGATAAATTGGGGTAGAGAGTTCCAGAGGATGGGGGAAGCTCTGGAGAAGTCCTGGAGATGAGCATGGGAGGAGGAGACGAGGGAGCTAGAGAGCAGGAGGTCGTGCGAGGAGCGGAGAGTATGGTTTGGGTGATATTTGTAGATGATTGGTGATGTAATTTGGGGCAGAGTTATAAATGGCTTTATATGTTATTGTTAATGTTTTGAATTTTATCCATTGGGCAATGGGAAGCGAGTGGAGGGATTGGCAGAGAGGGATGGAGGACACTAAGTGGAGGGATTGGCAGAGAGGGATGGGGGACACTGAGTGGAGGCCAGTGGAGGGATTGGCAGAGAGGGATGGAGGACACTGAGTGGAGGCCAGTGGAGGGATTGGCAGAGAGGGATGGATGACACTGAGTGGAGGCCAGTGGAGGGATTGGCAGAGAGGGGTGGAGGTCGCTGAGTGGAGGCCAGTGGAGGGATTGGCAGAGAGGGGTGGAGGACACTAAGTGGAGGGATTGGCAGAGAGGGGATGGGGGACACTGAGTGGAGGCCAGTGGAGGGATTGGCAGAGAGGGATGGAGGACACTGAGTGGAGGCCAGTGGAGGGATTGGCAGAGAGGGATGGATGACACTGAGTGGAGGCCAGTGGAGGGATTGGCAGAGAGGGGTGGAGGTCGCTGAGTGGAGGCCAGTGGAGGGATTGGCAGAGAGGGGTGGAGGTCGCTGAGTGGAGGCCAGTGGAGAGATTGGCAGAGAGGGGTGGAGGATGCTGAGTGGAGGCCAGTGGAGGGATTGGCAGAGAGGGATGGAGGGCACTGAGTGGAGGCCAGTGGAGGGATTGGCAGAGAGGAATGGAGGACACTGAGTGGAGGCCAGTGGAGGGATTGGCAGAGAGGAATGGAGGACACTGAGTGGAGGCCAGTGGAGGGATTGGCAGAGAGGGATGGGGGACACTGAGTGGAGGCCAGTGGAGGGATTGGCAGAGAGGGATGGAGGACACTGAGTGGAGGCCAGTGGAGGGATTGGCAGAGAGGGATGGAGGACACTGAGTGGAGGCCAGTGGAGGGATTGGCAGAGAGGGATGGAGGACACTGAGTGGAGGCCAGTGGAGGGATTGGCAGAGAGGGATGGAGGACACCGAGTGGAGGCCAGTGGAGGGATTGGCAGAGAGGGATGGAGGGCACTGAGTGGAGGCCAGTGGAGGGATTGGCAGAGAGGCATGGCTGATACAGAACGGTTAGTAAGGTGGATGAGTCTGGCAGCAGCAGACTTCTGGGTTCTGTAAAGTTCACATACACTATACAATCTGATTGTACAATCTCCTTTAGATTTACCATTGACTATGTAGTGCAAGGGCCTGCCTGATTGGATACAGAGTGATTGGGTAGATAGACAGGTCCTCCTATTTCATAGTTCTGGAAAATCTAAAGGAAATTGTATACAGAGATTGTACAATCAGATTGCATAATCAGATTGCATGAAAATGTGAACTTATCCTTTAACCCACGATCTGCATAGTCGTAAATGTTTCAATGACTGTCATAAACACCACTAAGTGAAGGCTGGAATGACAGAGACTTTAAAATGCAGCCCTATTGTAAATACAGTTGTGCCTAAAAGTTTGCATACCCTGGCAGAAATGGTGACATTTTGGCATTGATATTGAAAATATGATTGTTCATACCAAAAAACTTTTATTTAATGATAGTGATCATATGAAGCCATTTATTATCACATAGTTGTTTGGCTCCTTTTTAAATCATAATGATAACAGAAATCACCCAAATAGCCCGGATCAGAAGTCTCCCTCCCCTGGAATGTTTGGCCTTGGTACAGACACACAAGGTGACACACAGGGGTTACAATGCCAATTGAAGTTTAATTTCTCACATCTTTGACTTTTTAACTTGCAATTTGTGTCAGTGTATAAATAATCAATGAGTTTGTTAGCTCTTACATGGATGCACTGAGCAGGCCAAATACTGAGGCATGGGGAGCAGAAAAGAACTGTCAAAAGATCTGAGTAATAAGGTAATGGAACTTTATAAAGATGAGAGAGGATATAAAAAGATATCTAAAGCCTTGAAATATACCAGTCAGTACTGTTAAAGAAGTGGCCTTCCCCCAATTTATACCACAGGTAGCAGTGGACTTAACCCTTTCCCAACCCAGCCTAGGCCAGTACCTAACTATTAAGCAGTTCTCAACCTTCTCACACTTTCATTAAAATAAATAGTCACAAATCATTAGGCTGAATATCCAAATGCTCTAACCAGAGCTAAAAGAAACCAGAGCTTGCATCTGTGGTTACTATCATTTGAACTCTGTTCTATTCCTGTCTGGCATGGCAGCAAGTGTCACCGACATTTCTTAAAGATCAGAATTGCTTCAGCTGATGTTGTGCAGGGTGCATGTTTCCATTAAAACATTTTTGGTGTGCCATCCCATATGGAAGAAAAATATATTTGAAGTATATTTAAAAAATATTCTTCCTAAATATATTGACATATATTTGAAATGCTACAATTTTGGCCATATTCAATATATTTCAATATATATATCAATATATATATATATATACTGCTTGGCAACTCGGGAGTTTCAGCTCCCTCCATAAATTTTCTATAGGATGAAGGTTTGGAGACTGGCTAGGACACTCTGTTAACTTAATGTGCTTCTTTGTGAGCCACTCTTTTGTTGCCCTGGTGGTATGTTTTGGGTTATTGTTCTGCTGGACGACCCATCCACAATCCATCTTCAGTGGTCTGGCTGAGGGAAGAAAGTTCTCATCCAAGATTTTACAATACATGGTCCCCTCCATTGGCCCCTCAATGTAGCAACATCGGCCTGTACCTTTAGCAGAGAAACATCCCCAAAGCATAATGCTTCCACCTCTGTACTTGAGTGAAGGGATGGTGTTCTCAGAGTCATAGTCAGCATTTTTCTTCCTCCAAACACAGCGATTTGAATGCCAAAGAGCTTAATTTTGGTCTCATCTGACCACAGCACTTTCTCCCAATCCTTCTCTGAATCATTTAGATGTTCAATGGCAAACTTCAGAAGGGCCTGTACATGTGCCTTCTTGAGGAGGGGGACCTTGCGGGTGCTGCGAGATTTCAATGGTTTGTTTGGTGACTGTGGTCCCAACTGCTTTGAGATCATTTGTAAGCTTCTCCCATGTAATTCTGGGCTGATTCCTTACTTTTCTTGTGATCATCCTTACCCCATGAGGCAAAATCTTGCATGGAGCTCCAGACCGAGGGCTATTGATGGTTATTTTGCATTTCTTCCATTTGCAAATATTCACTCCAACAGATGTCTCCTTCCCACCAAGCTTCTTGCTGATGGACTTGTAGCCCATTCCAGCCTTGTTCAGGTCTACAATTTTGTCCCTGACGTCCTTTGACAGCTCTTTGGTCTTGCCCATGATGGTGAGGTTTGAATGGAAGAAAGAAGATTCTGTGGACAGGTGTCTTTTATACACATAATGAGGTGTCGATAGGAGCCCCTTTCCTAAATTGACAGGACTAATCTGTGTACCACATCCCAAATATTCACTCCAACAGTTGTCATAGTCAGCATTTTTCTTCCTCCAAACACAGCAATTTTAATTGCCTAAGAGCCCAATTTTGGTCTCATCTGACCACAGCACTTTCTCCCAATCCTTCTCTGGATCATTTAGATGTTCAATGGCAAACTTCAGATGGGCCTGTACATGTGCCTTCTTGAGGGGGCCTTGCGGGTGCTGCAGTATTTAACCACTTGAGCTGCTGAGGATTTACCCCCCTTAATGACCAGGCCTCTTTTTGCTACTCGGCGCTACACTAATTCAACTGATAA